TTTAACGGCGGACACAATATAAAACTTTTACTACCGCAGCCATAGATGGAGCCGATAGACCAGGTGGAGTATGAGAGTCTTTCATGCCCAAAATTAAAGTAGGAGCATCTGATACAACTGGGATGGATCGAGATATTTCAGCCTTTAATCGAGAATTCATCCCATCAAGCTAGAAAACAATAAAATTATTCAATGATGGAATAAAGAACATAGCCAATGAATGACAAGTTTCAAGAAAACGGTGTCAAAATATATATACCTTAGCATTGATCTTTTGAATTACACTGCTGAGGTAGTTGGTCTGGTACCGGTCTTTTACCTTAAAGGGCCGCACACACTGAGTAACGATGCCTTTGGTAACCGCACACATGTTCTTCCATGGCCCTTCACGTGTCAAAATTAATTTGAGGACATTTAACAAATACAGATCAATAAGTAAATCAAACTTGTGAATATATCAAATCACCAACCATAAAAATCAGAATTCCAAGGAAGGATACATAGCACAAACGTAGCTCAATATGAGCTTTATCAATGATATTAAATGTTACGAACTAACAGAATAGTAAATCAATATAGCAGTTAAAGAAACCGTTATGGAAATATGGGAAGAAAGAGCTTTATTGATTAGTATGGAAACAAATGCAGAGAGCAGAATGAATCAATCCCACAATGGGCCCAGAGCTATGCTCCTATAGGATCCTAGAGTATCCTATCCATTCCTTCTAGATCTAGCTACAATCCAGATGATTATTCCCTCTACTGACTGCTCCTTATATTGTGGAAACGTACTGCCCCCTCCTTCATGCCACCTCATGATTGGTAACTAACTCATCCTCTAATTCCCCTTTTTACCTCTTCTAGAATATACTTTCCAAACTCTGGGACCACTAGAGGTGTGGTGAATTAATTGTTCTGGTAACTGTAAATTATTGTCATTGTTTCTATCAATACTCCTTTCTTCAACTGCAACCTTGTCCTCAAGGTTGAATTGTGGAAATTGACTTTTTAGCATGACATAGTCTTCCCAGGTGGCTTCCTCTACTGTCCTCCCCTTCCAATGGATAAGCAATTGTTTCACCTCTTCACCTTGCTTCTGTACCTTCCTCACAGCCAGCACAGTTTCCGGTTCAAACACCTCTCCCTGCTCTCCTGCCATAAGGTCTGGCAGCTCTTCATTCTCATGGTACTGTCCCACAGCTTTTTTCAACAATGATACGTGAAACACCGGATGAACTCTAGAACTTGTTGGCAGTTTCAATTTGTAGGCGACAACTCCAATTCTCTCTGTAATAGGGTAAGGTCCATAGTATCTAGCAGCAAGTTTAGCATTAATTCGGGTTACCACAGAATTTTGCCTGTGTGCTCTCAACTTAACGAAGACCCACTCTCCTACTTCGAAACTCCTATCGCTTCTCTTCTTATCAGCCCGAGCCTTCATCCTATCTTGTGCTCGGTGTAAATGACTTCTCAACTGTCTGATTGCCTCATCCCTTTCTACTAAATCTCTCTGTACTGCCTCAACCCTTGTCTCTCCTTGAACCCATCTACCCATCACAGGAGGAAGTCTACCATAGACTAGTTCAAAAGGGGTGTGCTCTGTAGTAGTATGAAATGAAGTATTGAACCAATATTCAGCCCAATGTAACCATGACATCCAATTCTTGGGCTGATCAGAGATGAAGCATCTAAGGTACGTCTCTAAACACCGGTTAACTACTTCTGTCTGGCCATCGGACTCTGGGTGATAGGCCGAGCTCATCTTGAGTTGAGTTCCCTGGACCTTAAACAATTCCCTCCAAAAATTTCTCATGAAGACGGGATCTCTATCACTCACTATAGACGTAGGTATCCCATGCAACCGGACTACTTCTTTGCTAAAAATCTCAGCCAAACTTCTAGCCGTATTTGGATGCTTAAGAGGAATAAAGTGACAATATTTAGACAACCTGTCCACAACTACAAAAATAGCTTCATACCCTTTGGATTTTGGCAGGCCGGTGATGAAATCCATAGAAATATCTTCCCAAATGCGTTCCGGTATGGGTAGGGGTTGCAACAAACCTCCTGGAGAAGAAGCTAAATATTTTTGTCTTTGGCAAACATCACAACTTCTTACAAATTCCTGCATTACTCCCTTCATTCCCACCCAATATACATTTGCTGCCAGCCTTCTATATGTCTTGTAGAACCCCGAATGCCCTCCTTGTGGGGTGCTATGGAACTCTTTCAATAACATAGGAATCATGGTTGAATGTCTTGAAAGGACTAGTCTACCATCATACATTAAGACTCCATGTTTGTAGGTATATCCAGGTTTAGGAACCGGATCTTGTGATAGTTCAGCTATTATTTTCTGCAATTCCTCGTCATTCTGCACCTCCTCCTTCATTAATTGTGTCTGATCCCACTGCAGAAAAGACGTGATACTCCTCAACTCCATTCCCTCATGCATTCTAGACAAGGCATCAGCTCCTTTATTTAGTTTGCCTTGCTTATAGACAACCTCAAAATCATAACCAAGTAGCTTTGCAGCCCAGTTTTGCTGTTCTGCAGTAGATATTCTCTGCTGCAACAGTTGCTTCAGGCTCTTTTGGTCGGTAGAGACAATGAATTTCCTGCCAAGGAGGTAGGGTCTCCAGTGCTGTATAGCCAACCCCAAATGCCATAAGTTCTTTCTCATATGCAGACTTAGACAGATTTCTTACTCCCAACGCCTTACTAAAGTAAGCTATCGGTCGTTTATCCTGCATTAGAATTGCCCCTATACCACTACCAGAAGCATCACATTCAATTATGAATGGTTTACAAAAATCAGGTAGAGCCAGGACAGGTGTTGTAGTGAGCTTCACCTTCAACTCTTCAAAAGCTCTCTGAGTTTCATTTCCCCATTTAAACCCATCTTTCTTTGTCAACTCTGTTAACGGCTTAGCTATCCTGCCATAGTGTTTGATAAATTTTCGGTAATATCCAGTCAGTCCTAAGAAGCCTCTAACTCCCTTCACATTCTTAGGTGTAGGCCATTGGGTCACACTGACTATCTTATTAGGATCCACAGCTACTCCCTCTTGGGATATGACATGCCCCAAATAGTCAATGGATTTCTGAACAAAGAGACACTTCTTCTTGTTGGCTACTAACCCATTGTCATCTAGCACTTGTAACACCATTTGCAAGTGCTGCAAATGGGACTCCCAATCAGTGCTGTATACTAAGATGTCATCGAAGAAAACCAACACATATTTTCTAAGCATGGGTTTAAACACTTCATTCATGAGGCTTTGGAATGTGGAAGGTGCATTCATAAGGCCAAATGGCATGACGAGGAATTCATAGTGTCCCTCATGAGTACGAAATGTTGTCTTGTATACATATTCTTCCTTGACCCTTACACTTGATGATAACTAGATTTTAAATCCAATTTAGAAAAAAATCTAGCACCATGCAACTCATCTAACAACTCTTTTATAACAGGTATTGGAAATTTATCAGGAATTGTTACCCTGTTTAGTGCTCTATAATCTATGCACATACGCCACGAACTGCCCTTCTTCTTCACCAATATTACCGGACTAGAGAAAGAGCTTGTGCTGTTCCTGATTATTCCGGTAGCCAACATCTCTTTGATTTGCTTCTCAATTTCATCTTTATGATGGTGAGGATATCTATAGGGCCTTACATTCACCGGATTGGTCCCTTCCACTAAATTAATAACATGTTCCTTGCCTCTGATTAGAGGTAGTCCCTTAGGCTCTACGAACACCGACGCAAAACCGTGTAATAACTGACCCAGCCTCTCCTTCTGCAGTTGGGACAAATGGTCCTCTGGTGCTCCACTCCCCTGTTTCTCTATACTCCCTAACTTCCTTTCTCTCCATTGCTTGGGCTTTTCTAATATACTCTGCAGAGCCACCATGGACTCATCGCTGCTCCCTAAGCCTTGTAATGTAACCCACTCCTTATTACTCCAAAAGCTCATGAGTTGTTTCTTCCAATTCATAATCATATCTCCAAGTGTGTTCAGCCACTTTATTCCCAACACAACATCAATTCCCCCTAACTCAAACAGATGCATATCTGCTTGAATTCCAAAATTCTCGATCTTCAATTGCACCTCTCTGCAAACTCCTTGAGTCATGGTTTGAAAACCATCACCCAACTTGATTCTCATCTGTGAAGTCTTCTCCATGGGCCAATCCATCTTGCTTACCAACTTCTGAGAAATGAAGTTATGCGTCGCCCCGCTATCTACCAACACAAGCACCGGAACTCCTTTGATCTCTCCTTGGAAACGTATAACTTGGGGAGTGTGATTAGTCATCTGATCCAAATGCATCAGGCTCATCTCTCCCTCCTCTTCGCCGTCCGCCTCATTCACTTCGATTGCCAGAACTTGGCCCTCTATCTCCTCCGTATCACTGTCATCGACAAGAAGGATCTGAAGGTGTTTATCGGGGCATTGATGTGTAGGAGAGAAAGGCCCCTTACATTTGAAGCAAAGCCCCTTCTGTTTTCTATCCATCAATTCCTGATAGGATAAATGTTGAAACCCACGTTCACGAGACCCATTCCTTCTCTTATCTCCATGGGCTGCTCTTTCATCTCTAGGCCCAATAGGATTGCTTTTAGAACCCCCATTCACTCCACCTTCTCTATTTTTCACTAAAACCCAATCTGAATTTCTTCGGCCCGCTCCATGAGTTCCGGGTCGGTGTGACCCGCTTCCAAACCTGGACCCTCTCCTACTAGACGACCCATTTTCTCCATCGACCTCTTTCTCTACTGCACGCGTCACCTGTAACAACCTTGTATGACTCATTTCCCCCATGGCTACGAAGCTGCGAACTCGTCCTCTAATCTCCGCCTTCAACCCATGAAGAAAATATCCCAAAAATTGCTTGTCGGGAAATTTCGGAATCTGAGCCATGAGATATTCAAATTCGGTGATATATTCTTCCACCGTTCCACTCTTTTTAAGCCCTGTTAATTGTTCATACACGTCACTGTCGCCGTAACCACCATATCTGGCCAACAGTGATTCCTTCAACTTCTCTCACTTTCAACTCCGGTAGCGTCCCTTGAACACGGAAATACATTTCAGCTCGTGAAATCCACCCCGCAGGATGTTCGTCGTTGAAGGACGGTAGCTCTACCTTTTTGATGGATTGACGAAACTCTGTCAATGCATCACGACTGAGGTTGTAAAGCCCCGATCCGGAGGAATTCCCCTTCCCATTTGCACTACCTTCTCCTTCCAGCACCGTCTTCCCTAGACACCGTTCAAACATGGCCATGAGACTCTCATGGCTAGTCTTCACCGCATTCTGAACGTCTATCAACGTCGACTTCACCTCCGACATCTCTCCTTCTAACGCCACTACCTTCGCATCCATCTTAACCTTTTTCGGGGGCATTCACTGGTTTCGGGAATGACAATCCGGTAGGTCGGACCAGTTTGTTACGAACTAACAGAATAGTAAATCAATATAGCAGTAAAAGAAACAGTTATGGAAATATGGGAAGAAAGAGATTTATTGATTAGTATGGAAACAAGTACAGAGAGCAGAATGAATCAATCCCACAATGGGCCCAGAGCTATGCTCCTATAGGATCCTAGAGTATCCTATCCATTCCTTCTAGATCTAGCTACAATCCAGATGATTATTCCCTCTACTGACTGCTCCTTATATTGTGGAAACGTACTGCCCCCTCCTTCATGTCACCTCATGATTGGTAACTAACTCATCCTCTAATTTCCCTTTTTACCCCTTCTAGAATATACTTTCCAAACTCTGGGACCACTAGAGGTGTGGTGAATTAATTGTTCTGGTAACTGTAAATTATTGTCATTGTTTCTATCAATAAACATGTGCAGTACACGTCTGGTGGATCGTTGATAAGTACTGTAATCTGATTTAGAGTACTTGTCGACGATCCGACAAGTACTGTAAGCTGGCTCTTTATGTGTATGTAAAGGTTGATCAATTTCCTACGAATAGCAAAGTAAGAATCACATTTACTAGTTAAGTGTGATGTGAAATAGGGGTTAATTCTATTTTTTTTCAAAATAAATATAATATTTAACATCGATTGTCTAAATGGTTCGATGTAAAATATAGGTTTTAACATCTGTTGTCTTACTAGTCCGATGTAAAATATAGGTTTTTACATCGGTTACAAAGCGCGTCCGATATAAAATATTTACTATCTTTCTTAAAAAATTAGGCTATATAATCGAAGTGGAATCTCAGTAATTTTTTTTGGTAATTAATTTTTCATATTTTTCGAACATCACACATAACACATTTAGGTCACTATTTTTTATATTTTTTCAACCTCACACAGACCACATTTTAATCGCTATTTTCATATTTTTCTACCTAGTGAACGATAATTTCATTCCACCAAATAGCTAGGATGCACATATATTCTTCAAAATGAAAAATTGATTTACAAAAGTACTAATCTAGGATACACTTAAGTATACAAAATTATAAGGAAGTTTACACACGGTAGACTATTACAACAATAAAACAAGTGAAAATATACAAAAATATTCAACCATTTATAAGTTGTTTTTCACACTTGAAATATACCAACATGCAATCCACAAAAAAGATGAGTTGTAGCTTAAGTAGATAACACCAAAATCATGTTGACAATAAACAATAACCCCAATTAACATTGACAGACAACACCAAAGTCAAGAAACTCATATATATATATATATATATATATATATATATATATATATATATATATATATATATATATATATATATATATATATATATATATATATATATATATATATATATATATATATATATATATATATATATATATATATATATATATATATATATATATATATATATATATATATATATATATATATATATATATATATATATATATATATATATATATATATATATATATATATATATATATATATATATATATATAACTTATCAGCTAAAACTTAATTTTTATATAACTCAAAGAAACATTTTGTCCAACGGAATCACAAATCATACAAATCATCTTGTGTTAATTATGTTGTGTTAATTCTTTGAAAATTTACATGAAGTTGCAAAACGCAAAATAAATGATAAAGTACACTACAAAATTTAAAATTATTACACATCTACCGTGAAACATTTTCTAGTAAAATAAGTGTTAGAATGTTTGCTCTTAAATATCTCTTTCAACAAAAGAAATCAACTAATAAAAAAATAAGAAATACAGAGGAACTAATAAAACATGGAAGATACATGTTCATATAAAGAATATTATATTCTTACCACCAATCAACTAATTAAAAATAAGGAATATAGAATAAATAATGGAAGATTCGTGTTCATATAGAGTATTATATTTTTAATTTGATTATCATCAAGCATATGCACAATTTATTTTGACTTGATAACAGTACCAGCTAGCTTACCTAGATCGGTAACTGGATTATTGCCATCTTAAAAGGTAACTTTCTATGCAACTCAAATAAAACACAAATGTTAGTAGTTGAGTGTACCTCGTCATCCTTATATTTTTTCTGCTTGATACCATTCCTCTTCAGAGTCTTATTCGAAATCAAGCGCTATGAAAAATATCCGACCAGCCGAAGGAAAACAAAGTTGTATTCACTATATTGCTTGAGATTGAATCAATTAATTATCAAATTTATTACAAATTACAAATAAAATTGAAACTCTGCACGGTGAGTATAAAATATTAAAATATATTAAAGAAAGATATACAACTTTAGTCACTAAATGCTAGTGGAATATGGATTTCTACCAGCAAAGGCCTACAACAGAAAGTTAAAAATTGAAGTGACGAACACTGCAACATCCAATTGAATTAAGTAGCGCCCATGAAAGATTGTTTAAAAAAATATATATCTAACCTGAGTGCTGCCTTTCCAACCACACTTTGTGCGAAAACACTTCCATGCAGCGGACCCTCTAAGCTCAAAAATTATGTTATTAAACCAAAGTGGAATCAAGGTCACTAACAAATAGAACTAGACAAGTCTATGAAAAAAGGTAAGTAGTAAGATACATGTCTGGTGCAACAAAAATTCATTAATTAACCTATGAACATTCAAAGTTCTTATGTTCCATGAACCTTACCTGGTCTAGTAGCCTTAACAATGGAAGTAGTATGGTAGCCATTGATTTTAAGCGGCGAAGGAGGGTATTTCAAAGTGGCCTTAGAATAAAATATTATGAAAAATCCACTTTTAGGTTGAAAAAAGTGGTGCGTTTGAAAGAGGGGTTTTGGGAATGGAGTTGAATTGGAGAGGGTTTAAGTGTTCATAGTAGAGAGTTTTGAAGGGTAGCTTAGTAATGGAGTTACAGCGTGAGGATAACGAAAACACATCTTCTATGACATACAGAAGAATGAAGAAGAAAAAAAATGCTAGTGCAGTGGAGAGGGTGCCATGGAAAGGTTATGCCAGAGGCGAGACGCGTTGCCGGGAGTGCGACAACGGGGGCTTATGCGTCGCCAAGAGTAAGACGAGGGAAGGCAGAGATGGAGCGCAGTTGAGTGGGAGACGCACAGCGGAGACGGAGGCGAGCTGGTTCAGTCTTGGAGGCAGAGAGATGAAGAAAGAAAATGGTGGGTTCCGTCTTAGAGGCGAAGAGAGATGAAGAAAGGAAACAATGGGTTTCTGTCTTGGAAGCAGAAACAAAAAGAAGTGATATAGTCTAGGGTTTTATTTTTTATTGACTTTTTCATATTGGTGGAGAGTTTGGCTCGATGTAAAAGCCCACATCTCATATTGGTGGACAGAGTCTCGTAAATTTTCACGATCAATCTATGAAAAAAAGAGCTTACATACACATATTTCATGGTTAAATAGAGCCTCTTAAAAAAATTCACGATTCAAATGAAGTTTAACTTCTCACACAGAACCTCTCAAAAGTTTGAAACGGCTCTGCTACTTAGCATGGGTTCAGAAGCATAATTAATGCATTTCATTGCCTGGTAAAAAAGAAAATAATGCACACATTTATGTTGACATATACATGACAACCAATATTCAATATATATAGTAATTATACTTACATGGGTCAAAAAAGCCCTTCGTCGTTGAGGCGAAAGTCTCGAGTGCCTAACAAAAGGTTTCTGTTGGTAAAGGGATAGGTCTTTTGTGTACCGTTAAGAGGAATCAATAGCTAAGCTACAAAGGAGTTAGCAAAGCCAGGTTAGTTAGTTAGCAAAGATAGGTCTTCAGTTGAATCTATATCATCTCTTGCTTGGTTAGTTAATTAGCTAAAAGGGTGTTAGCAAAGCCATCTATTTTAAGCAACATGTTAGTACAAAAAAAATATAAAACAGCTAACCTACCTCAATTGGTAGATAAATTGGTCTTTGGGGCTTTCCAACATTAATACACGGATAATTTCCAGAATACTTCAGGGGAATCATCTTTCTCTGTGTGAAATATTCGAAAACACTTATATCCTCCTTGTCCCCTCTCTTCTTCAAAATAAAGCTACAAAACACACATCTTCCTTAATAACAAAACATGTAACTAAGTAACAAATAGAAAACAAAAGTCACTATTAGAGACGGATAGTGCGGAGTTATTTTTTATCTTCCACGTATTTAATAAACGGATACCATCGCATCAAAATTAATCTATATTGTTATATAGAAAATTTACATTTGCATTTTGCATGACAGATCACTCGGCCCAGTAATCATATACTCTATCTTTGAATGGGTGGTTTTGTATCCACAAATAGTTTAGTACTTTTGGCCTATACGGTAAAATATACAAAGGATCAAGTCTTGATATAACAATAGCAACAAATAGTTGAAGAATAAATAAAGTGTGATAACGCACAGTTTGTCAGCATGATGCCTCAGTATAATATCAAGCCCCGTGATTGCTTCTCTAGAATTCTCAATATTAGAGTGTAGACGAAATCTGGAGACATATTTGATTACAACTTTATATTTTTTCGAGTATTCGTCCAAGAGATGTTCAATATATTTCTATACCAAATATCAACCTGCATAAATATAAATACACATACACAATCAGGAAGATTAACACAAAATAAAAAATATTAATACACAAGAAAATTATGTTAATAGAAAAGAGTTATGCTACTATGACACTCAACTTCATACACTACATCCTAATTTTATACTATGAGTATATACTTACCATTTTTAATAATTTTTTTGTCTAACTTTGGAATTTGTGACAAGCTTAATCTATTGCATATAGCACCATATTTCTATTCTATTATATTATATTATTTGTCTTTCCTTATTATTAGGGTTAGTTCCTATTATTTAGGGAAAATTATTGATTTTATGCTACTATCATTTGCCATCTATATAAAGCAAGGATGACTTATAATTATTAAAACAGTTATTTACATATCACATTAATACATACGGTACATTAATACATACGGTGTAAACGAATATGGTGTCAAAAAATAGTGTCAACGTAGTATATCTGTAACATAAAAGAAAATTATACACATACTCTATATTGTGTGAAATACTTATGAATGTCTTCGGATTTGTTAAAATTCACTTTATAGTATTTGCACAACAAAGTCAGTCTAGTTCCAGCTGACCCAAATTCACTCCTAATCATTGGTGCCAACTTTTTATCTGCTTCCGAATCCATATCCTACACCAAAAGCATATAAAAGAAGTGTTCAACAATTTCAACATCAAAATAAAATAGCTAACCAAAGTTTACAAAAATTTATCGAAAACATATAACTGAAATAGATCGATCGTACGAAATTACTTAGACTCGAAGTTAACATCAAAAAAAGAAAAATCAAGTGAAATCAACAACCGCATAAATAGAATTACCAAAATATGATCAACAATATATAACAAAAAATGAACGATCTTATGTGAAATTGGAGAAGAATAGAGAGGAAGACAAAGTCGATGTAACTTTGTTCAAGCAAATTATGGGATCTCTGAGGTACGTGTGCAACGTCGACCTAATATAGGTTTTGCAGTCGGATTAGTGAGAAGATTCATGTGGATCAAGAGTGTCGCGCATGAAGGCTGCAAGAAGAATCCTGAGATACTTAAAAGGATCAATAAACTGTGGAATACTATTTCAACGAGACTCTAAAAGCAAAGAAGCAACAATTAATTATTTTTCAGATGTTGATTGATATGGAGATAAGGAAGATCGAAGAAGTACAACTAGATATTTCTTTCAAGTATCTGGTGCCCCAATCTTATGGTGTTCGAAAAAACAACCTATGGTGGAATTGTCATCTTGTGAAGCTGAATATATAACATGATCCTTTGATGTTTGTCAAGCAATTTGGATCAGATCAGTACTTGAAGAAATGGCTGTCGAAGTGAAAAAAACCTGTAGTGTTTCAAATCGACAACAAGTCAGCCATAAATCTGGCGAAGAATCTAGTTCTGCATGGAAGAAGTAAACATATCAAAGTTAGGTTTCACTTCTTGAGGGAAAATGTAAATCGATGTGAACTTAAAGTAAGGCATTGCTCGAGTGAAGCATAGTTGGCGGATATTTTCACCAAAAGATTGAAGATCGACACATCCCTGAATTTGAGAAAGAAATTAGGAATAATTCAAATTGCCTATTTTTAGAGTATGTTCGACAACTTGGATTATGGGGGTGTGTTGAAATACTAAATTATATTTGTTAAAATATTATATTAGATTAGATTAGATTTGATTAGATTTTATATTTAAATATTAATCCAAGTTGTGTAGACTCAAATTCAATTAGGATTGTATATAAATAGTCCTACTCTATATAATTATTTGTACAATTCAATAATACAAATATCTATTTCTTTATTATTCTTTCTTTCTCTCCTCACTAAAAGTGTCTCACGCACTAACAATGTCATCTTGATAGCAATTCTTACCAACCTCTAATTTAGTTTAACACTTATCTACTCAACCCTAATTTAATTTAACACGTATCTACTTAATATAAATTCAAAGTTATCATGATAACAATTGTAAGTGTTTGTTGGTAGCAATTTTGGTAAAACACTACTTTGGTAATGTTTTGCTTAATGTCTTGACATTTGAAGTAAAACATCTCAACTGTTTTTGAATGATGTCAAAGCAGATAATTTAACATCTGTCTTCTGATCTGAACGCGTTTTTTAGATCTTCTGTTTCCTGTTTTTAAGCGTGCCTTATTCAGGTTTTGTGGTTTATAACTTGCGAAAAATATGGAGGAATATTTTTCAATTTGTCTTATCGTAGCCTAATTTCATGGAGATATTCAAGAGATTCAATATTGAAATATTTGTTTTTCATCCCAAGCCCATAAAGAAGTTGTTGCGCCTTTTTAAGGACTTGCATCCTTATTCGTACAACTGCAACAATTGAAGAAAAATATATTCTTTGTGTTTAAAAGTCTGAATCTTTTAATTATAATACACTCTAGTATTTTTTCAATACTTGAGTTGTAATTTTTTAGTTGAGTTGTAAATTGTGGATCATTCATAAGCTTTTAAGTATTGAATGATTGAGGTTTTTCAAGCTTAATAATTCTGTTGTTTTTCACTATTAGTGATTGAAGGGATTTGAGGAGGGCCTCATACTTAGGTGTTTCTTATGTAAAAGTATAGCACGGATAATGATTAAGTGATTAGATCGTAAACTGGTTATCTACTGAGGGTCTATGAATTGATACTATTTAGTAGACCTGTCCCTGACTTGGTAGCCCTAGAGTAGGTGTTGTTGTACACTGAACTGGATTAACAATCCCTTGTGTTTTTACTGCTTTTATATCGTTTCATTTTATATTATCCTCAGATATTTGTGTCGTGACATCTCCTTCGACTTCACATATCGGATACCAGAATTTCAATTGGTATCAGAGCAGGCATCTTGCTCTATATATGGGTGATATCTAGGGAAGATACTTTCTGGTACTATAGACAAGGAAGGAGGATTTGTGAACAGACCACCCATTCTGGATGGAAGCAATTATGACTATTGAAAACTACGTATGGTGGCCTTTCTAAAATCTCTGGACATCAGGGCTTGGAAAGCTGTCTTAAAAGGATGGAAACACCTTGTTAAATTGGGAGAAGATGTAGAACCTACTTTTATGTTAAATCCAGGAGAAGACTGGTCTAAAGAAGAGGATGAAATTGCACTTGGAAATTCTAAATCCTTGAATGCTATATTCAATGGAATTGACAAGAACATTTTTAGATTTGTAAAAACATGTGAAGTAGCTAAGGATGCCTGGAGGATTCTTCAATCTACCCATGAAGACACATCCAAAGTTAAGATGTCAAGACTTCAGTTGCTCACCACCAGATTTTAAAATCTAAGAATGAAGGATGATGAAAGTATTAATGACTTTCATATGAACATTCTTGAGATTGCTAATGCATCCAGTGCTTTAGGATAAAAAAATACCCAAAGACAAATTGGTGAAAAAGATGTTTAGGCCTCTTCCCAAGAGATTTGATATCAAAGTAACTACCATAGAAGAAGAATAAGACATTGACAAGATGAGAGTGGATGAACTTGTTGGATCCCTTCATACATTTGAATTAATCATCAATGAAAGATCTAAAAAGAAGAACAAAATCATAGCTTTTGTTACCAATATTGAAGATAAAGAGGAGGAGTGTGATCTGGATACAGATGAAGAAATATATAATGCTTTAGTTCTGCTTGAAAGATAGTTTAACAAAGTGATAAAGAAGATGGATAGGAACCCAAGATCAAATGTCAAGAATATTTCATCTAACATCCATAAGTCAAATGAGTTTGGAAGAAAAAGGGATGAAAAAAATCCACTCAAGGGAAGGGAATATAGTGTCATGGATGTGAAAGTTTTGGTCACATTAGAGCTGAATGTCCTACATATCTTAAGAAACAGAAGAAGAATCTATCTGTTACTTGGTCTGAAGAGGATTTTGAGAGTGATCTTGAAGAGGAATCTGCCAAGTATGTTAAAGCATTGACATGAAAATATGTTTATGATGAAGAGTATAGTGATGGTGAACTAGCCTTTGATGAGTTAGTTGCCTCGTACAGAGAACTGTGTCTCAGAAGTGTAGAAGTTTTCCAAGAAGGGGAGAAACAGAAAGCTCTCATAACTCAGTTGAAGACAGAAAGGAAAGAGCACCTGAAAACTATATCTAGTCTGGAAAGTGAAGTGACTTATCTGAATTTAAATCTTGACAGAATGGTTAAATCACTCAAGATGCTGAATAATGGGTCTGACACATTAGATGAAATTCTTCAAGTGGGAAGAATGACAGGACACAAGAGTGGTCTAGGGTTTAATGAGAAAAATGAACCTTATTCAGAAGAACCTTCATCAGATTCCACTCATGGAAAGTCTAAACCAAAGATGTCGAATTAAATGTCTTAACATCATGACAAGAAAACACATCATAGCAAACATCATGGCAAGAAAAAATTTAATCACACCAGAGAGAAATTCCAGCCCTGGAGGTGTCACCATTGTGGAAGGTTTTGTCACATAAGACCTTTCTGTTTCAAGTTCTATGGGTACCCTAAAACTGCCCCTCTTCCCAAGATTGGTCAGATCTTTCTCAATATAGAAAAAAGAAGAAACAGTGGGTTCCCAAGACTGTTGTTGCTAGTCTCATAGCTCATACCTCTCTCAGAGTCTCAACCAAAGATGACTGGTACTTTGACAGTGGTTGTTATGGACACATGACAAGTGTTAAGAATCTGTTGGTAGATATCAAATATCACTCCACCAGTTATGTGACTTTTGGTGATGGAGCCAAAGGTGAAATCAAAGGAGTTGGAAAGCTGGAATGTTCAGGAGTCCCAAAACTTGATAATGTGTTACTTGTTAAAGGGTTAACAGCTAACCTAATAAGTATAAGTCAAATGTGTGATCAAGGGTTCAAAGTAAACTTCACCAAGACAGAATGTCTCGTTTATAATGAGAATAATGAAGTTATTATGAAAGGAATCATATCTAAAGACAACTATTATTTATGGGTTCCCCGAGAGTTTAACTTCTCCTCAACATGTGCTTTAGCCAAAGAAAATGAAGTTAAAATATGGCATCAAAAACTGGGACACTTGCATCTGAAAGGAATGAAAATAATCATATATATAGAAGTCATGAGAGGGATTCCTAAGCTCAAGATAGAAGAAGGGAGAGTATATGGTGAATTCCAAATTAGAAATCAAACTAAGATGTCACATCAGAAGATCTAACATCTCCCCACATCAAAAGTTTTGGAACTTCTTCACATAGACTTGATGGGACCTATGCAGGTTGAAAGTCTTGGTGGAAAGAAGTATGCCTATGTTGTTGTAGAAGACTTCTCTAGGTACACATGGATAAGTTTTATCAGAGAAAAATCAGAAACTTTTGAAGTCTTTAAAGATCTCTGTCAAAAACTTCAAAGAGAAAAGGATAGTCATGTCATCAGAATCAGAAGTGATCATGGAAAGGAATTTTAGAATAATAAATTTGTTGATTTTTGTTCTTCTGAAGGAATCAATCATGAATTTTCCTCTCCCATCACTCCTCAGCAAAATGGGATTGTGGAACGCAAAAATATAACTCTTCAGGAATCTGCCAGAACTATGATTCATGCTAAGAAGGTATCCTACCACTTTTGGGCTGAAGCTATGAATACTGCATGATATATCCAT